GGCCCCAAGAGCGCCCCAAGACGGCCCAAGAGGCCTCCAAGACGCCCAACATGGCCTCCAAGACGGCCCTGAAGCGCCCCAAGAGGGCCCCAAGACGGCCCAGAGAGGCCCCCAAGACGGCTCCAGACGGCGTCAGACGGACCAGGAACGCCCTAAGACGGCCAAAGAGACCCCCAGGAAGCCCCCAAAGGCCCCCAAGAGGCCCAAGGAGGCCCCCAAGATGCCTCCAAGAGGCCTCGAAGAGGCCCCCAAGAAGCCCCCAACAGACCCCAAGGGTGCCCCAAGAGACTCCTAACAACCCTCATCCTCCTACTCTATTTCTTCCTCTTCCTCTTCCTGTTCATAATCATTCTCTCCCATGTGTTCCCCGAAAGCTTTCCAAACCGACTCGGGGAACTCATGGTCCGATAGCTTGGCCAAGCTCTAGTCCAACTTTCGGCCACATCGGCGTCTCCAAAAAGGCAGGGGGCGGCGGTGATTCGCCGTAGGCGTCTTCGATCCGCCGCCCCCTTTTGATTTATCAAAGGGGTGCCTGGCGTGTTGGACCCTCTCGGTTTTGGTTTTGGTTCTTTTTCCAAAAGAGCTCCCCCTGGGGTTTCGGCCCGTCCCGCCACGGTGCCGTTCGCTCGGGACATCCTCAAAAAATAGCGAAGATGGCCAAAGATGGCCTCCAAGTCCGCCCAAGATGGTCCAAGACGGCCTCCACCAAGAGAGTCCTTGACGGCCCAAGAATGCCCAAGGGGCCCCCAGAGGCCTCCCAGACGGCCCAAGAGGCCTCCAAGAGGTCCTCCAGGAGGGCCCGAAGAGGCCGAAATCATTGATTTGTCTTGGGTTTTTGAAGGATTTTGGAATTTGCTTCTTCTCGGCATTCCGACGGCTCAAGATGGCCCAAGAGGCCCCCAAGATCGCCCAAAAGGCCCCCAGGAGGGCCCCATGACGGCCCAAGCGGTCTCCAAGACGGCCCCAAAGGGCCCCAAGATGGCCCAAGAGGCCTCCAACACGCCCAAGATGGCCTCCAAGACGCCCAAGATGGCCTCCAAGACGGCCCCGAAGCGCCCCAAGAGGGCACCCAGTCGGCCCAGAAAGGCCCCCAAGACGGCTCCCGACGGCGTCAGACGTGCCAAGAACCCACCAAGATGGCCGAAGTTGGCTCGAAGCTGGCCCAAGACGGCCCAAGAGGCCCCCAAGAGGGCCTCCATGAAGGCCAGAAGAGGCCCAAAACCTTGATTTCCCTGAGGTTGTTGATGGAATTTGACATCTCCTTTTTTTCGGCCTTCCGACGGCCCGAGACGGCCCAAGAGCCCCCAAAGATCGCCGAAAGATCGCCCAAGAGGCCTCCAAGATGGCCCCAGAACGGCCCAAGGGGGCCCCAAGACGGCCCCAAGAGGCCCCCAAGACGGCACAAGAGGCCTTTAAGACGCTCAAGATGGTCTCCAAGACGGCCCTGGAGCATTCCAAGAGGGCCCCAAGTCGGCCCATAGAGGCCCCCCAAACGGCTTCCGACGGACCAGGAGCCCACCAAGACGGCCGAACATGGCCCTAAGATTGCCCAAGAGGCCTCCAAGAGGGTCTCCAGGAAGGCCCGAAAAGGCCAAAACCATTGATTTCCCATGGGTCTTTGAAGGATTGTGGCATTTGCTTTTTTTTCCTGCCTTCCGACTGCCAGAGACGACCCAAGTGCCCCCAAAGATCGCCCAAGAGGCCCAAGACACGGCCCCAAGAGGCCCCTAAGACGGCCGAAGAGGTCTCCAAGACGCTCAAGATGGCCTCCAAAACAGTCCAAAAGCCCTCCGAAACTTCCTCCAAGAAGACCAGAAAGAGTCAAATGGCCCCCAGACGGCCAAAATGACCTTCAAGATGCCCACGTGTTCCCCGAAGGCTTTCCAAACCGATTCGGGGAACGCATGGTCCGATAGCTTGGCAGGTCTGGCCTCAACGTTCGGCCACATAGGCGTTTCCACAAAGGCAGGGGGCGGCGGTGATTCGCCGTAGGCGTCTTCGATCCGCCGCCCCCTGTCGATTCATAGCAGGGGTGCCTGGCGTGCTAGACCCTTTCGGTTTTGGTTTTGGTTCTTTTCCCCAGAAAGCTCCCCCTGGGGTTCCGGCGCGTCCCGCCGGCCACCCGGAAAATCGCTCTGGCGTCGCCAAAAACGGCCGTCTCCTCCAGCACAACGCGGCGTCGACAAAAGTAAAATCAACCCGGGCCAAAGCAAGGCCCGAAGCTCGGAAACAACAAAAACCTGCGCGCTCCTGTTTGCAACCAGCGTATATGCAACACCACGCCGACGCTGCGCTTATAACCCCACCCTGCGACGATGATTGCGGAGCAGTAGGAGCTGGAGGAGCAGCAAGATGAACAGGAGGAGCAGGAGGATAAGCAGTAGGAAACTCAGAAGGAGCAGCATCAGCAGCAGCAGGGGCAGCAGTAGCAATAGCACGAGGAACAGCACCAGGAACCGCGGAAGGAGCAGCAGGAACACCAGCAGGAGGAGCACGGGAGGAGGAGGAACACCAGAGGAAGAGCCAAAAACCCGTGGAAAAAAACAGCATTCAGCCAATGCAGCAGATACTGTGGCAGATCCGAATGTGTTCGACTGCAACAATCAACGCAGCAACTCCTGTGGGGTAAAAACGCTCAGGCGCACCTCGGCGGTGGCTCAAACGCATGGTACTTAACGGACCACGTGGCGACCTCGGAATCCCCACCGACCTCACCGCGGGATCCGTCACCATGCGGTCTCGTGACCTCGGAGGCCCCAATCGCCGGAGAGGTCCCCGCAAAATGACCCGAGTCCCGAAACCGTGCGGTGACCTCGAATCCCAACTGATTCACCCCGCGGCTTGGCCATCACACTTTCAGGGGGCCCCGACACACACACACACACACACACGGCCAAACAGACGCCCCACACATATACACACACACGCACACAACCGCACACACAGACACACAGGACACACAGACACACAGACACACAGACACACAGACACACAGGCACACAGACACACAGACACACAGACACACAGACACGCAGACACACAGACACACACAGACACACAAACACACACACACACAGACACACAAACACACAGACACACACACACACACTTGCCAGGTCAAGAGACCATCAGTCACCCCGAGACCTTTATTAAGACACTTGCAAGGCATGTAATAAGATTCGATGCTGTAGTAGCCGATGGTGTCCATGATGCCATGGCCCCTATGGTGTCGCCGACGATGGACCCTGTGCTACACAGTCGAATTTAAGTGACGTCAATTTCTGTTATGCCAGCTCCCATCCCGCATCTGGACACGCCACTTACGGGAGCACCGCGTTTCGGCTCACTGGTGGCCAAACAAGCGAGGGGCGTGCCGACGTTGCGCATTGCATATCACGTCCGTTGTACGGTGCGCGCGGGCCGGACTCATTACGCCACGCCCCTTGGACACAGGGGTTGCTTTTGGCATGGGGCCTCGAAGCCTCAAACCAAAGGCCCCAACACACACACACACACACACACACACACACACACACACACACACACACACACACACAACACGCACACACACACACACACACACACACACACACACACACACACACACACACACACACACACACACACACACACACACACACACACACACACACACACACACGCACACATGAGCAGACACACACACACACACACACACACACACACACACGCACGCACGCACACACACACACAAGCAGACATACACATAAGCAGACACACACACACACACACATCTTGGCATGGGGAACCGGGTCCTGAGGGAAACGGGTCCTGGGCTCCGGGGCCTCCCCCAGGGACGAGACCTTCGTCCCGAGTCGCTTTCTGACAGCCCCGAGGCCCGAGGGGGCCCCCGAGAGCCCGAAAGCGGCGAACAACCTCAGGACCCGTGTCCCTCAGGACCCGTATCCCCCACGGCGAACATCGAGCCGTATCGCCGATGCATCGGCGGTGCGGCGCGATCCTCCTATGCCATGGGCTTTGGGCGTGGTTTAATGGGGGGTCAGAAATGGGGGGGTCAGAAAAGGTCCCCTCTCGTGCCCCTTTCGGACCCCTCCAGAGCCCCAGGGGGCTCGTTTAGGTACCGTTTGGGTACCTTTTCGAACCACCCTCGCCCCCCCCCATTTATGACCCCCCCATTGCGCGGTGCCTGACTGATCCTTTCCCCAGGCCCGGCTTTTCGTCCCGAGTCGTTGTTTGACACTCCCGCGGCCCGGCGAGGGCCCCCAAAAGCCGAAAACTACGAGAAGCCTGTCGTGTTTTTAGACGTTGGATGTCTGGGCTCTCGTGGCCTTTCGCGAATGTCGGGTCGGGCGAAAGGGGGGGATAGCAAAGGGGGGGGTTCAGAATCAGCTCACGTAGCTGATTTTTCCGGGCGCCTCCCGGCGCCGGAGGCGCCCATGTATCGAGAAATGGGCCCCTCGGCGAGGCCGAAACCAGCTGCATGCAGCAAGTTTCGTACCCCCCCCTTTCCCAATCCCCCCCTTTCGTCCGGCCCGAGAATGACTCCCGGCGAGGGCCCCCAGAGCACGGAAATCACGAGAAGCCTACGTCTTGTTTTTGCTCCACATGCTGGATGTCTGGCCCCTCGTGGTCTCTCGCGGAGAACTCCCGGCGAGGGCCCGCCGAAGCCGAAAACTAGGAGAAACCTACGCATGTTTTCCCTCAAGACGTTAGGTGTTAGGTGTCTGACCCCTATCGTGATCCTTCGCGGATAACAGCTCCCGGCGAGGGCCCCCAGAAGCCGAAAACTGGGAGAAGCCTACGCCTTGATTTTCTCAAGACGCTGGATGCCGGGGCTCTCGTGGCCTTTCGCGAATAACTCACGGCGAGGGCCCCCAGAAGCCGAAAACTGGGAGAAACCCACGTTTCGATGCCTGGGCTCTCGTTGTCGTTCGCGAATATCTCGCCATATATCCTTCCACAGGCTGCGACCCCCCGCACCGCCACAAGAGCCAGCCCGCCTCGTCGCCGCTGAGCTCCGCCTGGCCCTTGCGCTCTGCCCGCTCCTTCCGGCGCCTCTTCTGGTGCTTCTCGTGTATCCTGGCAGAGGGCAGGGATCGGTCAGCATCGAATCGGGAAATCGGAGAATATCGGAATGATGAGCAGTACAAGTAGCCCCATCCTCTGGGAGGGGAAGACAGCAGGAGGGCAAAAAACAGTAGGGATAGGGGGTCCGATCTGCAGATGTCTCAGACAAAACCGCCCAGGATCTATTTCCCCTAATGCCAAGACGGGGACCTCAGTGAAACAATGTCTTCAGTATGCGATTCGGCTTAGGGTTAAGTCGGGCGTGTCCCCCTACAGGGGGATTTTCGACGAGAAATAAAAAATATGCAAAACATGCCCCAAAATTGTCGAATTAACTCAAAAAATAGTCCCCAGACTATTTTTGAACTACTTTGGGGGTATTCTTTATCTTTCGTCGAAAATCCCCCTGTAGGGGGACCGGCCCGACTTAAGCTTAGGGATTCTTGAACTATCGATGCTGGAGATGTGCGTCGGACCGGGCCGCGTCGGCACGGAGGGGGGCCGCGCCAGGGTGCACGGCAGCGCCGTGCAAGCGTCGGGCCGCCTCGGATCGTCGGCACGTCGGAACCGAGCCGAATCGAAACGGCCGGAGCCGAAGCCGAATCTCTGGACGCCCGCAATGGGTACGGAAAAAATGGGTACAATGCCCAACAACAAGTGTTGTCCCAAACCAACAGCGGCCGCTGTTGGGCGGGCCGCCTCCTGTCTCGAATGGACACAGGCCGCGGCGGCGCGGACTGCGAGTCCTGTTCAAAATGAACAGGAACTGCTGCTGGGTCGAAGGCAGCCCCGACGGGCCCGCTGGCTCACTTGAGGCCTCCTAGATGGGGTCCGACTAGATGGGGTCAGAAGATCGCGCTGCATTGCCGATGCATCGCCGATGCATCGGCGCATCGGCGCATCGGCGACGTCGGCGGTGCGTCGGTGCCGTCGGCGTCGAGAGAAACGGGCTCCACATCGAGCCGCATCGCCTATACATCGGCGGTGCGGCGCGATCCTCCGACCCCATCCCCATCCAATACAATAAAACATACGACATAAACATACACTTTGAGCGCTCCGCGCGGATTTCGATCTGAGCTGGACCCCCCTCCATGGCGCGCGGAGCGCGCCAGGGGCGCCAGGGGCGGCGCCCGAGGCGCCGCCAGGGGGGTGGGCTCGTGCGGCGTCGGCACGCGCCAAGGTTTTTGACACCACGCCGATCGTTCCACCTTGAACCGGTCGCGGTCCCGATCGTTCAAGGTTGAATCCAGTCGGGTCCAGTGGCGCTGCTGTGTCCCTCAATGCATCCGCATCGGTCTATCGTGCGTACTTCGACCGTGAACGCCTCCGCTGGCGTCGCCTGCGCGCCGTCGCCGCACGAACCTGCCGTGCCACGAGACGATGACTGTCCCCGGATCCCACCTGGGCGGACCAGACCCACTGGGAGCCGCCCAGTGGATCTGGTCCGCCCAGGTAGGCGGTGTGGCCGCGCCAAGCCGCCGCCGTTTGCTCCCCGGGCGCCGGGCCGGGCCTGGCCCTGCTGGCGGCCGCGTCGCCGCTGTCGCGCTCCAGCAGGCCGCTGGCCACCCGCCTCAGGAACGCCTCCCTGGCCTGCAGCGGAGCGGGGCACGGACGACGGTCGACGCGGCCGACGGCTCGCGGCGACGACGCCGCCGACGGACGACGGACCACAACAACGACGACGACGACGACGACAACGACCACGACGACGACGACGACACCAGACGCCCAGGACGCCGGAGGATGGGCGATGGACGACGGACGACCGCCGGCGGCCGCGGCGGCGGCGGCGGCGACGACGACGACGACGAACGATGGACTTCTTACGACGACGGACGCTGGAGTCTGGACGATGGATGAGGGTCGAGGCCTCCTAGATGGGTATCGAGTACAAGGGGTCGAAGGATTGCACCGTATGGCCGATGTATCGGCAATGTATCGGCGATGCATCGGCGACGTCGGCGTGGAGAACATCGGGCTCCACGTCGAGCCGCGTCGCCGATGCATCGGCGATGCGCCACGATCCTCCGACCCCATCTCTTTCGACCCCATCTGGGAGGCCTGAAGAGGGACGACCGACGGCGCGGCTGACGACGGACGTCAAACGACAAACGACAAACGACGACGACGCCCACGACGCCCAGGACGCCAGAGGATGGGCGATGGACGACGGACGACCGCCGGCGGCCGCGGCGGCGGCGGCGGCGACGACGACGACGACGAACGATGGACGCAGGACGACGGCGCCGACGCCGCCCATGGACGCCAGAGGGATCGACGTGGCGGAGGGGGGAGGAGAAGCAGGAGGAGGAGCAGGAGGAGGAGGAGGAGGA